GCGGGACCTCGGCTCGGCGCCCAGCAGCGGCGGCGCCCGGGGGGGCCTTTCCCGGGGGACCAGCCCCCGCTTGGGCCCTCTTCCCCTTCCTGCCCCCTTCTGCACCAAACCTGGGCAGCTTTTGCCCTTTTAACGCCAAGTTTTGCAGCAAACCTGGGGGTGTTTTGCCTCTTAAATACCTGTTTTCCCCCCGCTGCGGGTGTCTTCTGCCCTTCACGGCCACATTTGTTCCAAATCTGAGAACACTTTTGCCTTTTAATATCATTTTTTGCTTGAAGTGGTGATGCCTTTCCTTTTGGGACCACTTTTGCCCTAAATCTGGGCATGTTTTACTCATTATTGTCAGTTTTTCAGCAACTCTGGGGATGTTTTTCCCTTTTTTTGTCAATTTTGCCCCAACTCTGGGCATGCTTTGCCCTTTTTGGCCAGTTTTGGCCCAAATACAGGCACGCTGTTGGCTCTTTTGCTCTAAATTGGCTAATTTGCTCTAAATTGGCTAATTGCTCTGCCCTTTTTCAGCAGTTTTGACTGAAATCTGGGCGTGCTTTGACTCTTTGGGCCAGATTTGCTCCAAATCTGGGTAAGCTGTGACTCTTTGGGCCTCTTTCCAGCCAAATCTGGGCAGGCTTTGCCCTTTTTGAGCAGTTTTGACTGAAATCTGGGCGTGCTTTGACTCTTTGGGCCAATTTTGCTCCAAATCTGGAGGCACGCTATGAACCTTGGGCCGTTCTCGACCCAAATCTGGGTCTCTTTGGGCCAGTTTTGACCCAATTCTTGGCCTGCTTTGCCCTTTAGGGTCAGTTTTGGCCCAAATCTGGGCCCGCTGTGGCTCTTTGGGCCATTCTCGACCCAAATCTGGAGATGCTTTTCCTCTTAGAACTATTTATACCCTACATTTGGGAATGTTTTTGCCCTTTCGGGCTCGGTTGCCAGAAGAAGGGGCTGCGCCGGGGGGATTTTGTGCGCCCCTGTGTCACCGTGGATGGTGCTGGTACTGGTTGTGCTTTATGTGGTACTGGATGGTGACATTTAGGACCACTGCTGTCCTGAGTATGAGGCTGCTTTTGGCTTTTGGGGTTAATTCAGCAGGCAATCTGAGGCCTTTGTAC